GGCTGTTGTGTCCCCAGGGCAGGACCACCACTGAGCCTTACTGACCCTCAAGCACTTGTCCTCAGCCCATGGATCAATTTGGTTCAGGTCTCTCTGTAGAGCTTTCCTCAGGCAGATCCACACTTCAACCCAACAAATGGGAATTTCCCCTCTCCCATCTGCACCATTTAATATTCCTCTTAACTCTGCAGTTCACTGTTCCTTGATCTCAGTTCCCTGGTTCTGAGGATCTGCCTTTTCCCTGAACACCACCAGCACGTTTAACCTCATTAAAGCTCTGCCAGATTCCACATTCCTTTGGTCAGAGGCTTGAGGCTCAGGTTTCAGCAGTGCCACAAAGACATCCCCCCGTCAGTGCCACCCTGGGCTGGACACTGCTGCTCACACATAGCTGCACAAAGGGGTTTAGGAAGGGACTGCAAGCCAAGCAGCATCTGAAGGCACCCTGAAACTATCACTGCTGACACACTATTAGTGCACAAACTATTAGATTTCTGCAACAGAGGTTTTGTGCATCTTTTCCTGCTGGTTGGCTAAGCTGGAAGTTTGCTCCACTGGAAGTAGAAATGATAAATATTTCAGAGCACCTCAGCGTGAAAAGAGCTGTAACTGCCTCAGTGCTCAGCCAGAATTACATATATTCTGTTAATGTGTGTTTCTAAACCAAACTCAGCTAAGAAGAAGAAAAAAAGGGGGAGAAATGAGATATCAATGTCATAGAATAGTCTAGCCAAAAAATTACACTCTCAATTCCAGTCATCTCACTCCAAGACCAATTTCCCATGCACATCATTCCAAAACTAATCCTCAATCCACAATGACAACTCAACCTTCTTGAGATTTTGAACTAGTTTGCTAAATAGTCAATGTTCAGCCTCAAAGCAAACTGATTTTAGATGATAATTATCATTATTTTTACTTAATCTATTAGGGTCTTCCTCACAGAAAGGCTGTTTTTCCAGCTCCTGTCCAGACAGGACATGTTTCTAGCCTGTAGGGTCACAGCATACAATGAGCCAAGGTGATGTGTGGAACTTAGGGGCATAAAAATCTATATTGTGTCTGGAACAACGACCAGGCTTGCTCTCCCTTTGTGTTCAGTGGGGTTGCTTTGTCAAAGAGGTGCTGTTCCCAGCAAGAAGGCGATGACATGGTGTGGATTCTATCAACATCTAATGTAAAGATTAACAAAGTGAAATACCTTGGGTTATATGGTGAAATACTTCACTGAAGGAGGAAACACATTAACCAGTTATCCAAAGGACACATGAAGTACGGACAAGGACAGCACTGACATGAAGACCCTGACTATTGCACTCAGACATGCTCCAAGAAACTTGACTAAGCCACAGTTTTCTTCCCTCCTAGGAGAGCAGAGGACTGTAACCAGGTGAAGAGACCATCACAAGCTGATAATGAACAGTTTTAAACCAAAAGGCAGAAATTCACAACAGAATTTCACAACCAAGGCACAGCTTACCCAGACTGATCACCTATGTGACAAGTGTTTTGCATAGCAAACCAACATACTTAAGCCTTACACAAACAATAATATACACTCAAGACTTAAATGCGAGGACAAAAGTGATCTCCCCCCTTTTAATTCCCTGTAACCAGTATCTTCACTGCTATTTTTGAAGCTGTGTTATCCTTCCATCACCCTGTGAAAAACTGGAAATCAATGCATTCATAAAGGCCAATGCACATGCACCAGGGCAGAACACAGAGCTCCATAATTTCCACACTCTCACGGGTAACTGAGAGAGTGATATTTCTAGTCTAATATTCATTAACAATCAGGATTACATCATCTTACAGCACAGCGAAAAGAGTTTCTGCAGAACTGCACAGCTTTTCTTTCTCTCCTGATGCAGTTGAAGGACAGGGCAAGGAAAACAAAACATCAAGGCAAAAGATTAAAAATTCAGAGCATCTAAAAGATGATCTTCTCCATTTTAAACAAAGTACAGATTAGCCTTTTTTTCTCTTTGAATGGCAGTAATTGCCATAATGGCAGTTCTACAACTCTATCCATTCTATTTCTGGTCCCTCATGCTCTTGCTTCAAAAGGATTTCACAGTGGAAACTGAAGTTTCCTAGGCAGGAGGAGCTTTTGCTCTCTTTGTTATCTTACACCTGTGTGTACAGAGCAGTTTTATGAGAGTGCCAAGCCCTAAACTTGGCTGCCTAGGAAGGCTGATTCTGCATTCAAACTGGGAAAAATACATCCACAAGTCTGGAAACACATGTTGTCAAACCAGATTGCATTAAACAACGAGTTTTAGCCATTTTATTGATTTAAAATACACAGGAGTAAAGGTCTAAGGAAAAAGAATTCCCTAATAACCACCCCTAATGGCACCTCACTGCAAGAGAGACATTGAGGTACTGGAGCCAGAGAAGGGAACAGAGCTGGGGAAGGGGCTGGAGCACAAGGAGCAGCTGAGGGAGCCGTGGGGACTCAGCCTGGAGAAAAGGAGGCTCAGGGAGATCTTGCTCTCTACAACTCCCTGACAGAAGGTTGTAGCAAGGTCAGTCTCTTCTTCCAGGCAACTAGTGACAGGACAAGAGGAAATGGCCTCAAGTTGCACCATAGGAGGCTTAGATTGGATATCAGGGAAAAATTTCTTCATGGAAAGGGTTGTCAAGCATTGGGACAGGTTGTTCAGGGCAGTGGTGGAGTCACCATCCTTGGAGGTGTTCAAAAACATGTGGATGTGGCACTTGAGGACATGGTTTAGTGGTGACCATGGCAGTGCTGGGTTGATGGTTGGACTCAATGATCTTAAAGGTCTTTTCAGACCTTAATGATCCTCTAATTAATAACCAGGCACTTCCACATTCCTGAAGATTTTAAACGGATTGCAGAAATGTCTTCATTTCTGTCACCTCATCCCCAGTAACTGCATTCAACTCACTAAAGACAAACTCAGCAGCAGAATATGCATCTGACAGGACAGACACTCAGCCTGGATTACCTTGCATTAGCTCTGGATGGGGTGGCAGGATACTGGGAAGGAGGGGGAAACCTCCCCCTTTCAACAGTGAAACTGTACTGGAGGACACTCCCCAGCTGCTTGGTGTTTTCAAAGGTCATGAAGTGGCAGAAGGTGCCTCCCAGAAAAGAGCTGCATTTTTAAAAGCCTACTCAAGAGAATTAGCACTTAGGAAAGAAAAAAGATGGGTTGAGCACAACAGGATTTGTCTAAAAGTACCAGTTCCTCTGGGGGATGCTCTTATAAAGTGCTCTCTGGATAAACAGAAAGCAGTGATGCTCCCAAAGCCTGCAGAGCTTGGAAGAGCTAGAGCTGAGACCTAGAAAAAGTCTGAGGGAAAACACAATTAATGTGATGGTCCTTAGATTCCTACTGATACAGGAAACACAATCAAACTCACACCTTTCGGAGAGTAAAGAGAAGAACTGAAAATAATAAATAAAGGAAGAAGTACTGGTTACAGCAGGGGAAGGCAAGGAAAGGTTCTTCCATGACCTAGAGCTCATTGACAAAGCAGCAACTGCCAGCTCCATGGTTTGGGGACTTTAATGGGGTAAGGTTGGTTATCATGACAGGTATCTCCCTAGTTTTGCTCCTGATAGAGCTGGACTCATCCAGCAGCCTCTAGAGAGCTTGGTTGTCCCACCCAACCACAGGCTGAGGGTGCATTTCCATAGTAAGGAAGCAGAACTGACAGCTCTTCAAAGAGAAGCTAGAAATGCTGAGCAGTAATCAAACCAAATAGTTGGACAGAGGTATTTTCCTGACAAAAGCTGTTGTGTTATGGTTGAAGTAGTTTCTGAACCGAGGACACCAACCTGGCTGGTTCTGCCTAATGGGAGATGACATGCATGTGTATAAAATGAGATTGGATAAAGTTCCTACAGACTAATTGTGAGCATTTGCAGAGAAGCTGCAAAAGGAGGAACTCTCCTAAGCATTCAGTTGCCTCAAGTATCATTTCACTTTCAACACAAAAAATGTACTCTGAGCTCCAAACTCTCAATTCAGATGTTCTGTCTGAGCTAACAGCACAACTCCTACACTTGGGCATCACATTACTTCACACATGATTATGGCCTTGACCTGCTTTTAAAGCTATACATTAAATTTGCCTCAGCTGAAACACTGCACCTGCAGATAAAGTTTGCATCAGAGTACAGAGGGGAAAGCACCACACCAGGTAAACAGAACTGACATTTTCAAATGTGCATTTTTATCAACTTTTCATTGCTTCACTTGATGCATTAGATACTGAAATGGAAATGTACTTACTGCTCTTTTTCTGGAACAACCTGTAATCCAAGGCACAGCAAGGTTTCCTGAAATCTGCAGAGGGGAAGGAGGAAACAGAACAGAAAACAAGAGCAGCTTAGGTTGCTGTGAGAGCTAATACTGAGCAGCTTTCACGAGCTGTCAGTATTGTGTATTCCATTCTGAGAACAAAGTCTGTAACACAGGTTAAGAGTTAAAAGCAAAGTCATACTTAGCTGTTGTAGGACTAAACCAGTTTCTGTGAGTGAGGAAAAGATACCACAATGGCAACTTGGGGGTTCTGTACCTTTGCTACCCAAAACCTGTATTTAACAACACCAGTTTCCACTGCCAGTCTGTCCCAAACTGGCAGGACTGAGCAGACTGGAGGCAGGGCCAGTGTCTGACAGAACTGCCCTCACATCTCCTTCAATCACATCAGTTAAACCTGCAGAAAAAGTGCTCTCATGTTCATCACTGAGCTGCTCAGTGCCAGGTGTCGAGGACTGGAGTATTAGCAGGGAAAATTAAGGACATCAGGCTGGAGAAGGAAGGGGAAGGGATGCGAAGGCAAAGGTTAGCTGCCTTCATTCCCAGTGCTTCTCCATCATTCCCACAGGTCAGACTCTATTAACTAATAATCTCAGACTGTTTTCTTTGGCCATCTGAAACATGTCACAGCCTGGAATATTTTAAGCTTATTTAGCATTCCATGTCCATCTGCTGCTGCAGACAAGCAATGCTTGAGAGCCTACACATGGCTCCTGAGAGATTAATCCACCTCAGGTCATTATACACAACATATATGTGGAGAAGAAAAACCTGAGCACTTCTGCTGACTGAATCAAACTGCATGAACAGTTTGTGTACTTGCAAGGTGCTCTGCTAATGACTCTGCAGCACAAGCACAGCCAAATACAGCACCCCTGGCACAGCTGTCTGGTACACAGGCACAGAAGGCACTTTTATTCTTCAAGCTTTTAGCTAGAAGCACTTGGAGGTCACTTTCTCATTAGAACACGAGGTGGGTTGAGAGGGGCTAGAAATGAGCACCTTCCCCTCCTAAGGGCAAGTCTGCATCAGGATGTGTGTCTAACATTAATTTCAGCTTCACACCACAGGATCCACTGTAAAGGAACCCTGAGAATGCACCCACCAGGTGTCTTCTCTTCACAAATTAAAAGTGGCGCTACAGAAAAAAAAAGTGCTTTTCCATGTGAATAAAGCTAACTCAGCCTGGCAGACCATTAAGGATTGCTGGAAAGACAAATGCTCACAGGTTCTGACAGGTATGAGGCCAAATACAGTCCAGTTCACCTCAGCAGAACCCCCTGAAAGCCAACATGCACGGGATTACTCCAACCTGCCTTCATGCAAAAGGCAGAAGGGTTGGGATTTTTGGGGGGAATGTGCATATTTTTGAGTGAGATGGATTGTTATCCTGCATCCACAGGTGTAATTCCAGTCCTAGTCCAACTGGGACAGCTGTAAAAATGGCAACCTGAAGTGCCTGAGTCAGAGAAGATATTGTGTCTCAGACATGGCAAGTGGCAGATGCAAGAGAGAGCTCAAAGGTGCTGCAACCCTTGAGCAGTGCCAGTGCTGTCCCTTCATTAAGGGGTGACACTGTACAAGGGCCTTACATAATCTTTTCCCAATTCACCTCAGATTTACCATCCCAAACTCAGTGCACTGGACCAAACCAAGTTGGTTGCTGTGTCCCAGCACTGCCTGAGGCCACAGGAGGTGTTTTTGCAGCCTCCTCACAGCTCCAGAGTCCCACAAGTTCTCCCCATTCATTCTACAGAGCAGCAACCCTAAAGCCAATCTTAAAAACAAATAAATATATTTATCTACACCTATATAACCTATTCTGACACACTGACTGAAGGATTCACATGCTGTCTTGAAGAAGACAGAACTAAATTAAACAACGTGCTTCAGTGTATATAACAAAGTAATTAAAATACATGTATTTTCAGCAGTATTTTTTCCCTCAGGGCTGAGTGAGGAAATCAAGACTAAACCCCAATTCAGCCTTGAGGACAGCACAAAAAGCCTCTCTACTTCAACACACGTAAAGTCCAACCAAGCCAAGCAAGTAGGTTGAACAATTTGTTTACTGAAACTGCTCAGGCATTAAAATTGATCACTTAATTAAATTTAGTCTTGAGTTACACTAACAGGAATTTGATTAATTGACCCAGTAAGGAAGCTATAACTAATTGCTAATTAGATACCTCACCAATATATGACAGTAATTACTTCATCAAAACACAAATCACACAGTCCTGACTTTGAAGAGGATGTTTAGCTACTCCTATAATCATGTAGCTCAGGTTTCATCTGTGTATAAATGGAAGGAGATTTCCCCAAGTTTAAGGATTTTCATTCCTATACTGATGGATAAATTAGTTAAACATGGGCAATAAAATTAACATAAACTGACTATAAAAAAAAGGATTCAGACAGCACCTTATGGAGTCTCTTACAGCCAAGAGTATCACTGGGTTCACGTTCACAGCAATAAGGGAACTAATAGCAACCTGCTCAGCTTTTCCAAGCTTTAAAACTCTGGAATGGTAAGGGACATGACACGAAACAGGAGCTCTCTCCATCCAAGGTGCATCCCCAAATCCAAAGAACTCTGAGACAGACATGGAGGTCAATGTGGTACAGATAATTCCTCACTGATCAAATAAACAGGGAGGTTGTTATAACTCCCTCTATTTATATACAATATATAATTCAAAAACGAAGTACAGAAATCTTGTTCTGCTCCATATTACACCACAGGGCAGGTAAAATGTCATCTGCCATGAACTGTTGTAGCTGTTTAAAAAGGTTCCGTCCTTATCCCATAAAAACCCCAAAGTTACTCCAAACTTCATTTTAAAAAAAACTTCAAACATAGAAGAAAACAAACTCCCTGATGCTTTTTCAAGAGTGAAACAAAGCACCATGAGGTGCTGGAGGTGTCAGAAATGGATTTCACTTCATGAAACCTAGGAAACATGTCCTTAACTCTGTGGAAACACTTTTACTTTTCTTGGTCAGATCTGCACATTTACGGCTTTTCTTCTCCTATAAAACTGGGATGTCAAAAGTAAACAGCATTTCCTGAATTTTGAATCTCAGTAAAGAACAGTGACAGCAAACACTGACAGACTGTGTGAGAGAAGGGAGAAAGGGAAAGGACAGGTTGTCTGATGTCCCATCTACTGCACAGACTACTCCAAAGTACCTCTGTTCATCAAACCTCAGGTGTACCAAGAATATTTCTGGGGAAAAGTGGCACTTGGACTCAAAAGCTTCCTTTCAAATCCTCACATGAGAGAGGAATGAATCAGAAAAAAAGAAAAGCTAAAAAATGCTTCAGAGAGTCTTGTTCCCAATCCCAGTGAGCAAAGCATGGAAAAGGTGGTGTGTGATGTGGTTCATTTTCAGGATAAATTAAAAAGGCAGTAACAGGCAAACGCATGCAGGTAAGACAGACAGGATCACATCCTGTCAGCCTGAAGACTTTTATCCCAGTGCCTCTAGGCTATGTTGTGCCAGATGGCATAAAAATCCATGAAAAATACCAATTTGGATGTTTTCTGCACAACTCCCTCTCCTCTAGTAATAACAAAAAAACACATTGAGTGTTGCAGTTTCTTCTGAACATCTTTTAGTTCTTCAATTATCTGCACTTAATTTCCTCTTTCAGTATCACTGAAGGGACTCTACTAAAGGATGGGGAATAAAGGGATTCAATGTAAAACTGATGGTGGAATGAGATGCTGTGGGAGAGGAAGGATACTCACTGAGTGTCTCTCATCATATTAACTCCCTCCCAGGAGACCCTAATCCCTGACAGAACACAGGCCCAGGAGATTGGCACCTGCACAGGGGGTACAGGAATCCAAGCTGACATCAATAAGGATGAGCAACTGCACAGCACACAGATGTCAGCACGATCCCAGGGTCTTGTGCCACGTGTGTCCACAGAGGAACAACCCAGGGGATCACTGTGACAAGCCAAGTCAGGACAACACAGGCCTGAGCAAGCACCAGCTCGAAGGTGCAGCCAAAATTTAGCTATTAAACTGATGAAGCCCTCCCTGATCTTCAATATATGGTTTCCAGGGGCTCAGCTGGACAGGTAAGGGTGTCACCACACTGTAGTGCTACTTGCACTGTGTTTGAGAGGGAATTGCCTCCACACTAGTGTTACCTGCACTGCATTTGAGAAGGAATTCTGTCCACTGAAAGGTGTAACAGGAGCACAGCCTGCAGGAAGGTAAACCTATCATAGTAGTTAGCAACTTTCAGACAACAGTGTTTATCCACAACCTTGGCTCCAAGACTTGAAAAGTGAGATAATTTGATGGATTACCTGGTAATTATTTTGGTTTTGTGACAGCCTCAGTTGACTTGAAGACATAAAATGAGGAGAAAAGGTACTTCTTGCTGCATTAGCACTGCTATACAAAGTACTGGCTGTTGTGTGCAATGAGGTCCGTGCAGGCAGGTGGTAGTCTCTGCTGTGGTAGAGAATGTTGTCAGGCACATCCCTGGCATTCCCCACCTGTGCCCCACAGCTCCCACTTCGGCCTGGCCCAGACAAGGCTGTGCTTTGGTTCTCCACTCGAACAGAACTGCTGCTCTCACAGTATCTCGAATAGCTTTGCATTTGTGCTCCTATGGATGCTAACTCTTCCTCCCTGGCGTACTCATCCTCCATGTCCCCCGTCTCCATGGCGATGGACAGGCAGCTGCCTTCCAAGGAGGGATGCTTCTGCGTTGTGCTGCCTCCCACAAGTCTTTGGGGCTGATCTGTGACGGCCAGGGAGAAGACCTCCCGGATCTCCAGGTTCTGTGTGCCGCAGGGAGGGTCTCTGGGGTGAGCCCTGTGCCCAGGGGGCACGTGCGATGCCAGAGTGGAATGCTCTGGTTTCTGTAACCTCTGACATGCCACAGGCTCAGCCTTACAGGGCCTGTGGCATATCATGGGTTTCTGAGGTAACACCAGCTCTGCAGTCTGCACTGAGGAGCCACCGTAGCTTTTCTTTGTGTGGCTGTAGATGGAGTTTGCAGAATTCAGCACGCTTGTCTGCCTGGATAAAATAATGGTCTTTTCCCCTACTAACAGGGAGGCATTTTTACAGTGTGGGACTTGTCGTCCAAGAGGGATGTGCTGCTGCTGGAACTCTGTGTCATTCTTCCCTGGTAACCTTGGAAGAGAGGTTCTGTGTATCTCTGCCACTGAAGCACTGGTGTGTTTGGTGGATCCCTGCCTGCCAGAGGAACTGGCAGGGCTGTAAATACCAGTCAGTATCACATCGTTGTTCGAAGAGGTCCAGGAGGATTGCTGGCTTTGGGATCGAGCAATATTTACCATGTTCCTCACTGCTGCTTCTGGGGGCATTGAGGGAGTGGCAGGGGCAGTCCCTGGAGGAGTTCCTCCAGACTCCAGAGCACTCTTGCTGCTCATCTTCCGCCGTTTATTGCCAACCCACGTCTGCAAACAACAAACAGTGGCAACAAACACAAAACAGAGCATTAAATAAGCAGAAAAAAATAGGCAATTCCATTCTTAAGCAGATCTGATGACATGCTAAGTGTTCAAGTTGAGACCTCAGTTTACAGAAACACATCATTTCCTGGTTATGCAGTGTCTGAACAGCACAGGGCAGAAGTCTCAGGTCTCTCCTGCTTGTCATCCATAGTCCAACACACAGGAGAACCTCAGACTCAGCCCCAAAGCCTCAGTTTCTCAAAATGCTGAGACTGTACTGTGTCTGCTATCCTGAAGTTAGCCTCAAGATTTATTTCCTTGACACGGTTGTGACTAAGTCCCCCAAATTTAAGCTTTTAATGTTTACCACCTTGGCATGTAGAACCATCACTGTGGTGTGGAGCTGAACTTTCGTAACCCACTGACTGAGAGACTGGACCTTCAAATCTGCCTTGAACAGGAACTGCCAATTCTGGAATTCAGATGAGAGGAAGTAAAAGAAGAAAACTATTTTGTGATGTATTTAGACCTATGGACTAGTTCCTCCTCTGCCAGCTGCACAAATCAAGATCTGATGTCAAAACCTGCCTTTGAAAGACACTGATAGACAAGATTAGGACTACAGGGATTAGATTCCAACTGCAGTTTGCTATGGTGGACATTTCCAAAAGTGACAAGGACAGTATAAAGCTTTGAGTAACAGACAGAGGAAAAAAGAAGAGATTGGAAAAGGCAGAAAGGAGAGGTGTCAAGAAAAGAAAGGTAAAGATCAGGCAAAAATAAGACAATCGCAGGACAAACACTGGATCTGTTTCCATCACACTTCACAAGCAGGAAAGAAAGGTTAAGCGTTCCCAAAAAGGGCTCAGTAAGGGAAGAAAACTAAAGGAAAAAGGCAATGATACTTTCTTGCAGGAAGGGAA